GTACTTGGTTAACACAATGCCACAAAGCCGTGGGAGCAATAAATACTCGGCCACCAAGTATAAATCAAAATGATATCGTGGTCTGTCCCGTAGGGGACCCAGAAAGCCTTTATTTGAGGGTGACAATTACAAATGTAGGGTTTACTCCCTTCTAAGAGGCAATGCGCTTAGAATTTCCAGATGCTTTTTACTTAACGGCTAAAAAGTTCACTTTCTCTTGAATGACACGCAGAAGTTAGTTATGTGCGATATCTCACTCTAATTAGCGTTCCCTCAAATCTTCCCCTAGAAGAGGAATTGCAGTCTTCACATGTCGAAGCCTTTCTTGTTCATTTTATTACTAAGACTGGGGGAGGCGTATTCTTCTGCTAACCGTGATTCTGCTTAGGGTTTTCAAGTAATTCGGACCCTTGCTATCTATACTCACTGGTAATCATACTGGTACCATATACCTTCCATCAGATAGCTTAACGCTTACTTTATTTTTCCTTTCGGTAAACGAAGGTCAAACGACAGCTTTTCCGCTTCTACGTAACACAGATATTTATGGAGTGGGGCATTGTCGCTATTTCCTCACATGCACTACATTGAAAGTCAAATTGGATTTCTTTCATTTTACACATGTGCAGACCTTCACGTTACACAAGAATAAGGAACTGGAAATTAGTCTCAGTAAGCGTCATCATGATACAAAGTAACAATCTTGACAACACAAACTGCTGTATAATTTGAAGCGTTTCAGAACAACCAACTATTGCATTTTTTGTTCATGCTCAAGAATGTCTTCAAATATCTTTTGTGTGCTTGTGAGTTTAGTGGATAAAAGAATCCCCAAGTCACGCAATGAGTCTACTGGACAAAGTTCGTAACATCCAATAACCGGAACGTTGAACAAAAGACGTCTTTTCAACTTTTTTTCTGCTATGACCACCCTCTTGATACAGCGTCCAAGGTTACCTCAAGAGCACCTGATACATTGTACCACGTCGACTGTCAAGCAGTCTCACTGCGTAAACCATTTTGACTCTAGCAGTTGTGACATCAACGTAAATAAGTTAGGGTTCTTTATAACTTCGGTCATATAAATCCTTGAAAGTTATACTATCATCTGGGGGCTACAAACCTTTTACCTCATATTTAGAGTCGTAATACACATATCACCGGAGGCATGTATACTGTCTACGATATCAGTATCTCTCCAAAGGGATAAATGAGTTTTGCATAGAATTTAAAGGGTATTCGGAAGCAATTTAATCTGTGAAAGTCATCATAAATACCTCAGAAAACATCAAAGATGGTTAGCACACAGTATTGCTTACACTCTGTAAATTCTAACTCTACTGAAGCACCAAAATGGATTTAAAACTGAACATCAACATTTTATCTTATTCAAAATCTTATTAAAAAATCTGCTGATATCCTCAAGGGCTAAAATATTTTACTTCTAAATGGATGAAGATCGGTGGGACGGTGTGAGTGAAATGCCTAAAAAAATGAACAGTGACACCAGTGACCACCTTTTAATCGAGAGTGGTCCTATTATCACTTCGCACACATAAAGTACACCATATATTGTACTTCATTTTCAGCGTTTTAAATTATTTTGAATCAAACTAATGAGAGTTGAAAAGAGTAGGTTTGATGCGTTTTCAAAATTCGATTACTGAGGGCCGAAGAGTGGATGAGAAACTCTTGATATTCCTCCTAGTATGCATCCTTAATAGGGCAATGAATGAGTTTTAGGGGACCGAGTGACCTGGATTGTTCTTTTACAACACGTGTATAGTTAACGCATAGGCATTTGATAAATGACACTTACATGTCAAGTAAAAGCAAAATAGAGTGGGGTAAGTTTTAAATTTTTCACTGCAATCAACTTCGTGGTTAATGGAACATTAGCTTCACAGGGGATCATGAACTGCAAACTAGAGCAGGTCGACCGCGCCTGACATAACTACCCGCATATCATTATTAATTAGCAAGTAGTTTGTTAACCACACGCGAATAATCTATCACGTGTGCTACTTTATAGATTACCGCTGTATGATATTGCATGATTGATCAGGTGGGTTGTGAAAACTGGTAAGTCACTTTGAAGTTGGCTCCGCAGAGATATGAAGGATGCCAATGAGTTGATAGCGCAACAGAAGCGCTACTCAATATCACCAATATTGCCAAGTCCATTCATTATAGTCTAATTCCAACTGTAACCAACTATAGCAGCCCAAAAGGAAGATGTAAAGTGGGTGTCACAATCTGTGTGGGTAGGTTTCTTTAGGAGGGGTTTGCTTTGAAGTTATAGTATTCATGGTGTTTAGTCATACAAAAAATAATTACTAAAGCCACTCTTTATGGAACAATGAGGGTTTGATTATTACATTTGGTGAAGTGACCTTGAAACAGCTCTTGTTGGCATGGTCCTCGCACTGTCCCGACACAAGTATTCTGATTAATCCAACTTGAAATACCATGGTTCGAATCGATTTGTGAGGTACACACTGACGTTGACTCCCAACAATGGTAAAGCAGATGTAGGAAGCTCCTTAGCTTCTCAGAATAGATGGCTTTCACTGGTGGGATGAATGATACAGAATTCATAAGATCACAGTGAGAAGAATTTAGTTTGTGATTTCTTGCAAGAATATTTTGAGTGCCTTGTTGTTTGTTTACCGATCTTGACAAACCTCTTAACAAAGAATCATCAGCGCAGTATTGTCTCTCCGTCCAGAACATCCTAGCTTAGTGATGAACCTGTGCAGGTAGGACAAGGTCTCAATTGTAGCGAAGAATTAGGAGCTGTTTAAGTAAGTCCATAAGTATGCAGCTTAAGAGGCTTTCGGTGTTTTGCTTAAATCAAATACAGTTCACTCCACCTAAGAGAGACAATATCGTGTTTTGCTAATGGGACCAGTTCTTTTCGATCACGAGGCGTGAAGTTTTTGATGTCATAAATGGATGACGAGTTTGATCTGTACTTAAGAACCTCTTGGAATTCGACGTAGTAGTACGTAAAAGTCAGAAACAAGGTAGTGGTGCGTATAAAATACAAATCACGCGCAATGTTACAAACTGATCTGTGTCTAACAACTTCGCGTTAACCCAAGTCAATTAGGCCATTCTTTTCTTCCGACAGCGGATCACACCTAGAACCGTCAAAATCCTTCTTGATGTGTTTGTGGCCCTTGTGTGATAAACCTTCCTTCTTGTTGCACTGCCTGGTATAAATGCTTTGAGGTAACAAGGGACTGTGTGAAATTTTTTCTAGAAACAAGGAATAAAGATAAAGTTATCGGGAGGATTATGTTGCACACTACATTTGCCCCCCCCAATAAACCCTGCATCCCAGAAAAACAGGCGCTTTGCCTTGAAGAAGCATTGAACGATCGTCTCATCATCATCGTCATCGACAGCATAACGTCAGTGTTCAACACCAATGCTTCGCTGCCGATCGTTTACTGTGTGGTCAAAACATTTCGTCTTTCCGTTTACTAGTACCGGCTTCCGGATACATATTCTAGTGTTTGCTCTAATTCTCTTGACAGATCGATTCCTCTGAGTCACGTAGCATGCGTTACGCAGACAGATTCACCGCAACGCACGCGGGCTCACAAGCGGTTAGCGCTCTGCCGTATGTAGATCCACCTTAACACCACTATTTGGTGTAAACCCCGGGGAATCAGAGAGTAAAGTGAACAGGACGGGTGAAGTTCTAAAGACGGCAGCATACCCAACCGTTGGCCAACGATTGTCGATTTCAGTGACATTTGGGATTACCTTGTTTAGTTAACCAGCACAATGTTCGCAATGGATTGTCTGATTACCCGTGGCACTCGTAGGGCGCACCTTAGACACAACCACATGAATATCTACTGATAGACATTATCCAGTTTGGTTCATATAAAAATGTTGGAAGAAATTCAGCTCGAGTACGTTTACCATCTTCGTTCATTAGAATATCCAGACTGTTAAGGGAAATCGGTTGGTTTTCTCATCTCATCGATTGGAGGATTATGTTCGGTGCAATATCTACAGTTTGTAAAGGAACTATGTTTTCTTAACACTGCCAGAATAAATGCAGCCTAATTGGCTCAAATCAATTTTGAAAATCTACAAATTAGCCTGTGTTGAAGAACTTGGTGCCTACTGATGTACCCGCTAAATTTCAGCACCCCGGCCTTCTTCTGCGGGAAAGTGTCGAATAGGGGAACATATATGATAAAGGAACCTTGCGCTCAAGACCACCATACGAAATCGCACTTGGTAAATTTTTAGTTGATTTTAGCTGACAGATGTCACAACCTACCTAAGTTAACTATATAGCCCAACAAAACTCATCGTGGGTTAAATGACTCTACGCGAACTCACATAAAGTAAGATCCAGTGTTCTTTATTGAAAAGTGTATTACGTCTACACATTACCTATTGCCATAGAGTTTTGCTACGTCCAGACCCGTGTACTTCTTGAGAGCCTGCACATATCTATCTGGAGCAAACCTGGTGAATTCTGGTAGTTTTCTTTTCAAATGAAAGTATATTTTCTTCTACACCACCTTCAAAAAGATGTATATTTGCTAATCCTGATCAGTATATTCAATCGCTATCTTTAACCCGTGCGCCTCCACGTAGAACTAAGATGATCTCGCATGAGGACAGCGGAAGAACCAAATTAGTTTGCAGATGAGTGTATATTCGCTAATTTCGTGCAATTTGGTTTCAAGTAGAACATAAGGTTGACGGAAACCCCGGGGACTGCGCCTACCTGATGAGCCCCAAGAAGGGCGAAACCGGTCGTGGGCTGTCGATGGATTTTCAGCAACCTTATGAGTAGTACATTACAAATATAGTGGATATTACTTAGGTACCTCACGTTCTACTTTAGCCTTTCTATTTCCCGATTGGCATTGGAATAGAGGGACGAAATTCAACAAAAAGCAGATCCCTCCAGGTTCCCTGTCTAACTGTGATTTTAGTGGACACTAACGAATATATATGGGGCCTACCTGTCGAATCCAGCTTCTCCTTTGATTTCCAAATTGTCACCGTATTGCAGACTTGATGGAAAACTAAGCCGAAATTTCATGTTCGTTCTATGTCGCAACACCGTTTTTTGCTAACCACATCTTCAGTTCAGTGGATGCAAATGATTTACCGTGCTGGTCAATCATGAGCTCATGAAACGACACGCAAAGCCATGTGTTCCGTTGTGAAGCATCACAGAGTGACTGATGGTTTGTCGCGTTGTGCGTGCAAACGGACTGTTTAGGGTCACGTGAACACCTTAACGGTGGAGAAAAAACGAAGGCGTGAACAGCGCGATTGCGTGTGTCTGTGCCGTCTTAGGTAGGTGAGAGTTCTAAACCAATAAGATTGACCGAAGCGTCAGCATGTCGACGGGACCTTGCTTATCGTTGTCGGTGATGACCAGTTGTATTGCGAAGACATTTTTAAATCCTGTAGGCGCCAGTTATGTTGCCGACCTACTGTCGATTAACTGTCTCAGACAGTGGATGAGTAGAAACACATTAGCGTAATGAAAATGGCATTATCAGAACAATTGCGCTGACTAAAGCTCGTCGAACAATCCCTCAGTCATCACTACCAGTACTTCGGTCTCGCCTCACGACATCTCTGCCAGGATGAAAAAAGAAAATGCGTTGCAGTCAAAATCATATTTGGCTTTTTGTTGACGGGTGTGATGGGTTTCGTACAACGCATTCATTCGCATTGCTTCCCACTGTTCCTTACTTTTTGTGTTACTGAAAAATACGACAAAATAGAATGTAACCTTTCGCTTCAGAAGGGCTTGGCAAAAAGTCGATAGTTTTTTTGCTGGGCAGCTTTTCGCTTTCGACACAAGTGAGCAGGTTATCAAGTTGGATAGGCTTTAAGGCAGACGGGGAACAATCAGATTAGCACACTAGATCAGTGCTTAATTAAATGGTCTTGTTGGTTAGCGTAGTTTCCTAAGTCTTACAGTTGATGAGTTAAAGGAATCCCAAATTATTCTTGATCGGGTTTGGTTCCTTATTCTTCCGGTTTAATTCACTTCAATTTACGATTCACCTTGAGTGCCATTGATGGATTTCGTTGGTCTGTGGGGCCTTAAATGTGCTGCGACAATCTAGTTGGGTGAGGAGTGAGACTAAGTGCACTTCGGATCTAACTTATTTCTGTTGGTGACTGCTATTTCTGATAACCGCACACCACCACCTGTCATCTCGACTGATCTGAAACCGTTCTCCACACGCTTGCCAGTTCTACGCCTTCTATTCTATAAACACTGTCTCGGCCATCTGCCTCTGTGGAGTGGACAATAGTCCCCACCGAAAAAACCTCAACATTTGTTAAATCTATTTTGTGCCTCATGTTCAGTACATGTTCTGCCATTGCTTCTTTCAGTAACACTCGATATCCATATGTTTTTTCGGCGGCCTATTTATTTTTCTCCTGTGCTCTCCGATTCTGGTTTGAAGTTCCCTTGTCGTCTGTCCTTTATAGATCTTAGCGCAGTATTTACACTCAAATTTGTAGGCACAGTTCCTGGTTCTCTTAACTTACCTTCTCACACTTCCGGAATTACTTGTAAATAAGGACCAACTTATGTACGCTAAATATGGAGCAGCTTTTTTTGAGCACTTGTGGCTAAATGCAATGACTGATTGACAGAATCAAACGTACCAATATTGTACGCAGTCTCTCAAGATGGTGTTTCTCCAATATCTGATGCAGTGTAAATACGCAGCGATGAATGTCCTGCTTGTTTTTCCCGAATCAAGTTCTCTGGTGCCGTCATAAGACGATGAAGAATCAGTGACCACGAGAGTCAACAAGACAAAGAGAGTCAAAACTGACGATAGTGCGGTTACTACGTTCACCGTGAGTATCCAGTTTGAAAATAGGCACCAGTATCGAATCATCCCAATTATGTACAACAGTTTCTTCCCCAGGTAGACGCAAATATGTAAGACAGGCACTGAGTGAAGGATTCACCGCCATCCTTGAACAGAGTTGGTAGGATGTCGTCATGACCAACAGCGCGAGTACGCTTGTGTAAAGGTATGCACTCGTAAACTTTTGAGGCCGACAAGGGCTCCATTTTCATCGTCCATATTTCTGTTAGAAGACGATAATTCAGACTGTCGGTGGCAGGTGGCGGACTGAATTGCTTTTCAAATTATTTTGTCCAACGGTCAGAACGTTCTACTTTGCTGGATGTCACAAGGTGCTTCCGAGGACCAGTCGAACGAGTGAAGCTGGACAGCCGGTGGACGATTCCAGCCCTTTTCCCTTCTTCCATTTCTTCGATCTTTTGGATTCACAGGCTTCCTGGCATAGAAGGAAACTCACTTTCACTTGGCTTTTCACCGGTTTTTCCCACTTCGATTTTGTCCCACAAACCGAATTTATCCGGAACAACTTCGAATCACACTTGAACTGTTCAACTTTGTTGCGAATCATCAGTGGCTTACAATTTACCGATGCCAAGGACCACTTGAATAGAAATCTCCCCAGATAAGGATTACAACATTCTGCGTTGGCTACCCGTCGTCGATCAGTGTAATAATTAACTCGTAGCTATTCGGCATATATCGCCATTGGTTCTCCATTCGCCCAGTTCCTGTTGTATACTATCATTTAGGGACACGTGCTCAGATGACCATGAGGGTGACTAGTAGTATGTTTTTTGCCAGGAACTGATGGGATTATTTTGCGTGGGGTTCTCTTGCAGCAGGCTAGAAATTCAGTAGACTCCTCAGAAGTTCGAAGTTTTAGTCACCAGCATCAGTGATGGTGCTTGTCACCCAAGTGAATTGTAGTACATACATCTTATTAGTGAATTCAGCTTGTTTTCAAGATTTACCAAACCTCATTGGTAACTTGGTTTCCATGACAGAACTCGCTAGAAGTGACGTGAAAAGAAGTTTTCAGGACACCCGAACGGTGCACCACTCATTCACCAACTTGTCCTAACGAAAAAATATTCACCCAAAAGCCAAGATACTTACCAATTTTCAGTACGAAAACGATTTTCTCCCTTATTTCTAACGCACTTAGTCAGAAACAACTGATACCCGAGTTCCATTAACGGTAAACGCCTCTGGCAAGGAAACATTATTCATGCTCCATTCAATCTAACAGAGAGTAGAAGTTAATTGTCGTGCATACGAAGAAGATTTACTGTAAAGTGTGTTTTTAGCGTGAAAGTCTATTGCTTAAGCTCGGGCGTGAACTGGCTCTGTACCTGCCTAAATTTTTCCCGGCATAGCTTCAGTAACCTGAGCTCTTACGGAAACTGTCATGTTAAGGGTAGGTTTCGTGTCATTACAGTAGCTGACTTACAAGACGGTCTGATGACTTCTTTCGTGCACGCACACAATAGCTGTAGAGCTCACAATGTTCGCCCGATTGTTAGTGAGGGACCTAGTGCCGCGCACCTATTGTTTTATGCTGGATGCCCTCCAGAGTAATTCTAAATGTGAGATCTAAACGCTAGACCAAGTGACCCTGAAGAAATCGGTGAACTTGTCTTTGTTTAAACATGACAATGCGATATAGCTTGTCAGCAGTTCAATCGCTTAGAGATTATGCGTTTTCGCCACGCCGTCTTCGACAGCTCTCTCAATTGCTGAACCGGGTGGTGCAAGTCCTGTGATCAAGGGACGCTGCACTACTCCAGGAAAGAAACACATGATAAATCACTTCTTCTCGGGCTCGTGATGGTTATTGTTTTTTTCCTTTTCTAATGAAGTTCTTGAAAAGGCTTCATGATCAATGGTTCCTATTTTGAGTTAATTGTGTGAAACACTAGTTCCTAATCTAGATGACGATGGTTGACAGTCACCGCTCGTTACAGTGTATGTTTTAGACAAACTTGCTCCTACCACCAAGAAAGTCACTATATTATTATATTATATATTATTATATAATTATTATATTATATTATTATCATTATATCATATTATTATATATATTACAGTACGATTCTCATCGGTCATCCTCCCTGGAGAACATATCCAGGTCGATGGGAAATTCCGGATTCCCGAAATTACATCCTGAAGGAAGTAACACCTTATATCAAAACACTTCCAACTTATCTGGTCACATGTCATTTTCTGAAACATTTGGATTCGATCCTGATGACACAACTACGTAGCAGTACATGAATTGGCGATGTCACTATGCGGTGGTTGCTACTGCACAGGTAAACATCTCTACTGGGTAGTAATTGCCAGATGCTAAAGTTCTCTATGGGATTACATTATTCTGTGTACATCATCCTCGGAAATCATCTAGAAGTACTCTTCTGATTTCTAAAAATCCTTTTTTAGCTTAGTAAGTAAGTAAGTAGTAAGTAAGTAAGTAAGTAAGTAAGCAACAGTACGTAACATAGGTTCGACTAATTTGTTGCACACCGATGTATCGATTGAATGGTTGTCATGGCTCCCACGAGTTTACCTGTGACAAGCTATCGATTTCACAAATGATGATCCAAAATCGGTTCTTCTGCCTGGGTGAAGATTAGCTAGTGTTTTGAATAAACCACTAGCTAGGATCGTTGTTTTTTTTAATCCGTTGGTGAGGTTGCGTCCTAGAGGTAAACAACTGGCATAGCCTAAGGATGATTTGATGGTCGAAAACAAATCTTTGTTTCATCGGTCTCGTCCATGAAAACAACTATTTAATGTTCCTTTCACAACAAATTAGAAGCAGTGGCTCAGCATCTTTAAGATAAAAGGCGGATCTCTACGGTGATTGCGAGATTTGTACACCAACCGTGGCAAAATGTTTTCTTCAGACAGAAACTTTTAGCCAAGTGACAGATTTTCTCCGAGTGGATGTTATGTGGGGAGCCTGTCAAAACCGGGTCACATGCCACATATCTCCAGCAGTGGAATGCAGTGACCTAAGTCATATTTAATCACCAGCTTTTCATCAGCCGTCAGCCCCGAACTCCATCCATTTTGCAAAACTTCAGGTCCTAGCGGTTTTCAGGATTCACTGCTGATGGTTTTTAGTTAAGAAGGACTAGCTGTACAGTGCAAATCGATTTTCTTTCAAAGTTTCATTTAGATGTAATGAATGAAATCCACAGTTGTAAAGATGACAGAGTATCATGGGTTACCCTTTCAGAGAAGTTGACAATAGCGTTACATGTGGCACAGTGACACAAATGGACCGATTGCCTGGAGCATTTCGAA